GACGGGGCACATTAATAACGCTTTGACTTCGGGGCCCCCCATGCGATGGGATGCATATATTGTATGGGATGCAGAGCGTATCGAATCGATGCTGCCCGGCGCGCGAGTGCGCATTCGTTCGCGGAACCTCGCGCGCGACTCGCCTGATAACGGATGGCGACGATATAAACGGGACTTTCTGACGTCCGCGTGAAGAATTTCGCTCTCCTAAGGCCAGTGTCCACGATGGTGGAGCTTGGCCCAAGTTCTAGCTCCGAGAAATGTATAGCCAATCAACTTGCAGCTTTTATGGAATAGCTGCAAGTTGATTGGCTACACATTTCTCGAAACTACACGGAGATAATTTTTTCTTAAAATTTATCCTGGAAATCATGTAATCGTGGTACAACATGGCATTTCGAAGAATTTTATGAGAGTTTTTGAAATTTTACCATAACTTTTGCTAGTACACAGTTGGAAAAGTTGTGTTTCCTTGTTAAAAAAATTCCGGTTAAAATTTTTGTGTCAAATGTTTAACACAATTATGTGTTAATTTAACATATTGCTCTTGTGTTAATTGACCTGAAATGTTAAATTATTAAAATAACTGAATAGAAATGTTAAAACAACACAATGTGTACTTATTTTTTAATCTTATACAATACATATGTTCTATATTATTAGTAACAAGATTTATCTGTTAAAATTTACATAATAAAATGTCGATTTTATTCTATATAACATAAGTGAGTGTGATTTTGAACCGTTATTTGTCTTATTACATATCTAAAATGTAAAAATTACATTTTTTAAATTCATTTTGTCATTAAAAATATGTTAATTTTACACAAAATTTATTTCCAATTATTTTGAGATTTGCATTTATTTTGTGTTAAAATATTAACAGAATATTAGTGTAATCATTTAACATATCCATATTATGTTATTATAAATTAACACAAAAATTTGTGTGGACCGTTTGGGACATATATCTGTTAAATTTAACACAAATTTTTCAACTGTGTATCATCGTGGACGCAGACCTCTAGCGACGACGCGAAAATCGCAGAACTGGTCCAGCCGTGTACATTTTAAGGAAAGAACGAAAAGGGAGGAGAGTAGAAAGCGAGGGAGAGACGGAAGCCTCGAAAAGCCAATAGAGCGTCAATTTATAATCTATTATTTATTAGCGAGACGAGGCGCGGTCTCGCATATCAAATGAACAATGTCAATTAATCGTGTAACCATTTACATTCATTACGCACGTCGCGTGTGCAGTCACTCGGCGAGGCGTACGATTGCTTTATTGACCGTCAGGGAGAGAGAGAGGGAGAGAGTAGTCTCGCGGCGCGATAAATAATTTCTTGCATTCGTATCGCATTCAGCGACGTCGCTAGCACAACGATCGTAACGTAAACAATAGCGAAATGTCAACCGGGCTATTACAATCAATTCCACTCATGATCTTTCGCGCCCGCGGCCTCTCCGGTCCTCGCACTAACCGACAGCTTGGCTGAAATTACAGACACGGTTCTCTTCGCGTGACGTTTTACTTGTATTTTACCTTCCACCATCGTCATCGTCTCGTCATACCATTTTTGAGACTCGAGATTCTCGAGGACGCGCCAGTTCGGAATTCCGTGTAAACACATTTCTCGAAGTCATATGATGTTATATGATACAGGGACTTTTTCGACTCATTGTCAGTTTTTAATAAGAAACAACGCTATGTAATTAGTGGGCGGCCTTTCAGAGTCACCCTGTAAGTCTCGCATTCAGTAGTTTAACAGTGTAGGCAGAAATAAGGAGGAAAGAATAATGTTTCTTTGCGATGGCTAGTTAGACGAGGGGAGGGGGAAAATTTTGATGAAAATCTGAAAAGACACGGATAAAAGAGAAAGGAAAGGGTCTTGATTAAAAAGCAGAACGGAATAGTAGTAGGGGGGGGGGAGGAGATATGAGTAAGGTAATATACATTGAATAGGAAAGAAAATTAATGTAGGTATAGCAGTTAATGTAAGCGAGGATACCCCAAGGAGCGCCGATGCGCATATAACGTGCTTTTAATGCGCGTTTTATTGCATTGCTTCAAAACAACATTAATTGTGTGTTCGAAATGCGCAAATTTAACATGTTTGGGCATATTTCAGATACATAATTTTATACAATTCTCTATATTTATACATGCTTATGCGTGAGAAATTGTACATAGGAAGTCAATGGTACTGTTTTTTTAAATGTGCTGTCACATGGTACATTAAATGCGCATTAAATACGGGACAAATATGTGCATTAAGTACGAATTTAAATGTACATTTAAAGCACATTGTACGCGCATTGGCGCTTCTTGGAAAGAATAGGTATGTTGGATGGATGCCCAGGTTCACGAGTGATGATCAAATCGCTATCGAACATGAGTTTTCGGACCGTTTGATTTGATGACGATTACTCCATACAACACAAAAGCTTGCAACAACATTGCTGCAACATTGCAACATTGCATATTGCAGTGTAATGTTACATAGATATTGCAGAGATTATTTTATAATATTACTTTAGTAGTGTTGTAGCAATATTATTTTAAAATATTGATACAATTATGCTTGTAATATGTATATTGTTTCCTCATCTCGCTTTTATAGTTTACTAGAAATGACAAAACGCGCGCTTCGCGCTTTGTAGTTGAGCATTATATATTTTTAAGTATTTATATACATGCAAAAAGTAATTATATGCGCAACGTCAATTTAAAATAAAACGTAATTTATCACTCACTGATACGATTCGCAACGGCACAGTTGTACATCGTTAACTATATATGTTAAACTGTAAAAATACAAATATGTATATGATTATTATAGAGTAATTATGTAAAATCGAAATTATTGCATTAAATATACTTAATATTTTATATTTTTTAAACTATAAAATAGGTATTTAATATAATAATTATATAGAATACTGAAAAAGTCTCCCTTTTAAATATAAACTCACAAAATTTAATACGCATGGTTTTGTCTCTAACACTTATTCGAATCCTCGTTCGAATCATTTGAATAAATAAAATAAAAACAGAACAGATGCTTTATTTTGCACAAGTAGCAAATAACATAAAAATGTAAGACACTTACCTCACGATTTCTCCGCCGTTGCCCGATGCCTCCTTGGCCTCCTCCTCCTCTAAGATTTCCTTGTTGCACTTACACAACACTCACTCGCGAAAATCATCGATCGCGCGAAATTTCCGGCACTCCCGTACGCGATGTGAAATACCGTGACACACGAAATATTATTAACTTTTGCGTTATCGGTTTCCAAGACTTTCTGTCATACAAATTACTCAAACTAACAACTTGCATTTTTGATTCGGAAGAATAGGATAATGGATAAATCACTTTCGAATTGGCGATATAAAATGCAACGGAAGCATAATCTGCGGCAAAGAAATAATGTAACGTGCAATAAGCGACTTTCTTTACTTCCCGCCCGTTCGAGTTGCGAAGAACGACAGAGCGAAGTCGTACAAATTTCTCTTTTTTCCCCGAAAATGGAACAGATTAGACGACATCGACAGATAATTAAAAGCGCGTTGCGTAAACGAGATGTAACCGCGACAAAGTACCACGGTTTACATTCATATTTTAGATGTGTTAATCTCGTGAAATATCTAGGTACACGTTGATAAAGAACCGTCGCCTCAATGTACAATTCGTTTCTCTTTGCAAGTGATAGAAACTTAATGATTAATCAAGGAACGTTACTTGTTACTAATAAAGGTGTGCAAATCAATAATGTTTTATCCCTGCGTTTATCGCGATCGAGTCTTGGAAACCGATAACGCAAAAGTAATACCACGCACGGAGCGACTCTCGCCACTGCTTGCCGGCTCGACGTTCGGCGAGCGAATGAAAACGCGGCGACCTTCAGGTAAACGTTGGCCCGCGTAACGTCGTACGATACCGCGCCGAGGGAAAAACAACAAAAAAACGTTGAGAATTCGTTGTCCCGTCTACGAAATTGAAAATTCTATACTTAATATTTTACATTACTTTGTTCTGTGACTGTTACTACGTTTTGCGTATCAATCCGCGGACTTATTGGCATTGATTAAATTAACGATTAATTCTGTTCAATCCAGAAAATGTTTCGAAACGGAAATCGTTGTTACTTAAATTCTAATTACTAAGATTAGAGATTTTACCTCAATAGTTGGTGTATACAAATGTATATTACTAAATTGCATATCTTCATTTACTATGAATCTAAAAGAGAAGTGAAGCACACCGCGCTTCGAGAAAACATATATTATGCATGCATTGTATTGCTATGTTACTGTAATATTACATTGTAATATTTCTGGAGGCGGACATTTTACCGTTGCTGCAAGATTGCAGCAGCGTTACAGCAACATTTCGCAGCATTTAGGCAATGTTGTAATCTTGCGATGAATTATTGCTATAATGTTGCTGTGCTGTATGGGTAGTTTCTTCGTTGATCCTCGCAAGAAGATCGATAGACATACGCATAATACTTTGTCGATATCTTGTTGACGTATACATATTTAACATCTATAGATGTATACGTATCAATTTGATGAACAGAAGATATGGTATCGGTGTCGACCAATTTTTAAGGATTTAATTGACATACAGTATAGAAATGATATTCAAGTCGAGTCGATAAATGGAGATTGATTCGACTTCGATATGATATCTATTGAAATATGACTGGACATCTACGCAGAATATTTCCCAGATGTCGTGATGAAATCTTCTAAATATCAACTTGATTATTGATTTGCACATGGCTTTAACTTGATTTCAATATGACATTCACCAGATTCTTCATCGACTTCCCAGTGAGAAATGATCCGTCGAAATGATGTCGAGTCGAGTCATTTTTCGCTGGGTTGTGAACCGGGAAATAATTGTAAACCAAGTCGTTTCTTGGCCTGTAAAAGCTGAAATCAAGATTTAGTAAATATCTCGCATTCAGCTTTACCGGTTCGTTTCTGCTTTCAGGGCGACGCTGGGCCGCATATGTATGAAACTAGTGATCGTGATGGGTGTCACCTGGGTGGCCGACGTAGTCTCATGGGCTGTCGGCGGGCCGCAGTACATCTGGTACTTCACCGACCTGATAAACGCCTTCCAGGGCGTGCTGATCTTCGCAGCGGTGGGCTGCCAGCCGCAGGTCCGTGCGGCGCTCAAGAGATTCTTCAGCAGGAACCCGCAGACCAATGCCGGAAGACAGGGTAACGGCCACAGCACGACCAGCCACGGGATGCCGAGCATGGGCGACAGCGTAACGCAAAACCCGAGCACCAAAACCGCGCCGTTGGAGACCATCTGCTAGAACGGTTGCCCTCATGGCACACGGGCGTCTCATCGCGTCAGTCGCATCGCCGCGAGAGTCGTCGGGCACGCTCGGTTGGCCGATAAGCGCGATGAGAGCAATCCGATTTGAATCGTGATTGAAGCTACCGAGAGGTTGGCTTGCGGCTGCGATTCAACATCCGGCGAAGTTTCCGCCGCGGGCAAACTCGCGCGGCGACGAACGAGAGGGTCGTAAACGGGGGACCCGTAGGAGCGGCCTCCGTTCACCAGCGATCGCACCTTGCGCGTCGACGATTTGTCCGCGGTCATAAACGGCAACCGCGTCTCTTCCGCTCGACTTTTATCTTTACCAGCGAGGTACCGTTGACAAGCTTCGCGAGTTAGTATGTTGCCGTGTAATAACGGTTACGCTAATCAACGACCGAAGGATATTTTCGCAGGATCGATTTGACCAAGAGGCCTCCCCTCAAGTTCATTGACCCGCGAAGGTTGAGGAATCTCGCTGAAAAAATGTTTTCCCGTTGACATCTCCTTGATACAGAACGCGAGTTTAAGGGGAGCGAATGTCTGGAGAATATCCGAAAGTGTTCAGCACGCCTTCGCGAACGTATGTCGGGTGTGTGTTTTGTACTTTCTCGCTGTTTCTGAGCTTTCGCGATAGCGCAATTTCGTGCAGCAGTACGAGGGGGGGGAGGGAAATTATTTACGCTCTTTCCCATCTGGCCGTAAAATTTCGCACGAAGATATGAAATTTTCTTCTCGTAGAAAAAAAAGAGCCGGTAGCAACGAGGAAAGACGCGCGTACGAAAGTCACGACGGAATAAGTTCGACGGAATAGTCGTCAACGTCATCGTGTTTCGCGAACATCTGTCGAGCGAGACACGATCGGGGGAATTGGCGGCGCGTACACGATTATCTGAAATCTCGGTGGTGAGCTCGCGGGCCGTTCTCGCTCGAGCGGGTGCTGACCGCCAACGATCTATCAGGTCCGCACGAGGCAAACGCACTTCGTCCTAGTCATTGGATCTGAGAACTGGATACACTCGCGCCGACAAAGATAGATCGCGAAATTCCGCTGACGAAAGAACGGGGAACGGCTAATTGTCCATTCCTGTTTTGGTACTGCCGGACTTACCGTCGCGCGATCCATCTTCCCCGACATAAGCAATTACTCACCGCGCGCAATTAACAGAAACTCTTTGCCGCGATATCTCGTCGATCTCGCATTACGGGAGCGCTTTCGCGCACGTTCCTCCCTTTCGTTTCTCTTCCTCTGCGTACGGCATACGTAATATCGAGAGGCTGACAGAAATTACGCGGGGATTTCGATGCCCCGGAATTGCGCTCGGTTTCACGTTTGGCCGTTTCGAATCGCGATATTTCAGCTCGAGTTCGGCGCTTTCGCGCTCGAGGCACTTCCAGCCGAGACGAGACACTGTACAGATGTCCGTAACATTCAATTTATCACGAGCAGCGTGACGCGAGAGCAAGTGCAGAACATTCGTGGCGACGGGTGTTAATCCGGGCGATGCAAATGTTCAAAAGGCACGCGTCTATTTCGATCTTTTCTAATGTCTCTTCGTCGCGTGTTCCGCGCATGGCACGGACAATTGCTACCCGTGTTTCGCGCACCGTGCTCGCTAAAAGTCAATCGGTGCGTCATCACTGAAAACAGTTATAAACGTAGCGCTGAGTTATTCAACTGTGAAGACCCATTGTTTTCAGTGATACTCCACTGACTGACTGACTTTTAAGGCCTGCGTCCACGATTGGCCTAGCCAGAACTAGGTCCAAGTTCTAGTACCGAGAAATGTGCGGCCAATCAACTCGCAGCTATCCCATGAAAGCTGCACTCTCCAAAAGTCAATCAGTGAATTATCACTGGGAATAGTGAGTATACTACCGAAAATTGCACACGGAGAGAATTTTCTCTTAAAAAATTCATAAAATTCGTATGGCTCAAATGCGATTGTTCGCCGCTTTCAGTGATAAACCGCCGATTGACTTTTAGAGAGCAAGACTAGATTGGCTACACGTTTCTCGGAACTAGAACTTGGGCCGAGTTCCAGCATCGTTGACGCAGGCCGTCAGAGAGCGAATGTTCATCCGTCGCCGCCTGGATGCAATCCGAAGGCTGTTTAAACATTTTCAAATTTTCCTATCCGCCTGAATGAAAAAAAAAGGGGGGTGTTCGGAATTTACCTTCGCCCGGAGAAGGGGGGGGGGCGAGAGCGTGTCTTCGCGCAGCCCCGCGAAACCTATTCGGACACGCATCGTTCATAAATCAGAGTTCGTAATGGCTCTACGCCGCTAAAACAGACAATGACGCGTACTCTTCGGACCTCGGTAACGGGCAGAAACAATGCGTGATTTATGATCGCGGCGAGTTAATATTCGTTTTTCCTTTCCTCCGGCGGACAACGATATTCATTGATATTAATAATATCGGCTCGCGACGAGCGCAAGTATCTCCCTCCCCTTCCCCCGCTACCCCCTCCTCCTCCTCCTCCTCATCCTCCTCCTCGTCCTCCCCCGAGATTAATCACTTTTAACAATGGAGCGTCGTAGCCTGCGCTATTACGCGGCAGTTCCGCGCTCTAGAACGATTTCGCCGTTTCACGGCAGGTTTTTTCGACGGCCAGTTTTTGATATGACGATACAACCCTTTTACAATAATTCGTTGTACAACCACTCCGCGCAATCTAACGTGGATCTTTGCTATTTGTTAAAATCTTTCGGGGAGACGACCTGTTTTTACGTGTAAGATCTTTCGACTGGGACGAGAAGATAAAGTATCGCGTTACGTCCATTGTGACGGAGCGGCGTGAAATATTAACGTTCGACGGGAGCAAAGGCGGAAAGGCAGTCGGTCTTTTGAGTCTAATGATCATTGTGCTCTCTTGAGAGCCGGATACGAGGGCGCGGGACAAAACTGCGGACGGGGTCTGGTCTCACCTCGCGTTCGTTACGCCTCGTATTACCAAAAGGACGATCGGGAGTTCGTCAGGGGTTCCCTTCCGAGTCTTCCTTCCTTCATTATTCATCGGACGTTATCGAATCTAGGAGCAATCGTTTTTCCGTTTCCCTTAGCATAAATCTGCATCGGCGTCGTTAGCCGGGCCTGGGTAGGATGGCCGTGGCTGGCATTAAACATGCAACATCGTGGGCTCCGAGCCACAATTTATCGCTGATCAGTCGAACGGTCCTGTTTCGGCTCGCGGGCACGCGGGAAAAAAAGGAGCTCCGCATGCCGCGCGTACAGCACGTAAAAACGTTCCGCATGCAATTCGCGTGCACGCAATTTGTCGACGTGCACGTTGCTCCGCGCAGCGACCGTTTCCGAGAGTGGATCATCCCTTTGCGCAACGCTCCTCCATCCGAGCGTTTTTCTAAAAAGGGATCGAACGTGTGGATCCTTGGACCCGTTTTCGAAATTACATTTTTACCGATGACCGTCGCAGACTGACACGACGTAAACAAGACGTGGAATTGTCTCTATTCCCAGTGAGAAATGAATCGACATCGACTAGTCACTTCTCGCTGGGTCTCTGCGCGATAATTTTAGTTTCCAAAGCCCTGAATGATTAAAAAATCACTCGGACATACGTATTTTAGCGTAAAGCCTGAGAACATTTTTCTCCTTCGCGGGAAAAATACTTTTTAGAAGCTTTAACTTCCACTTTACACACAGAGATTCGATATCGCTCGCGTTATAAGTATTCCTTTAATTCTCCGACGAAGGGAAGCGGATACGTCGAGGAAGGACTTCGTGGAAGGGAATTCTAGAGGGGCCTCCGCGAAACTCTATATATACTGCCAGAGATACTATATAAGTATATTAAGTACGTGAGACTAATCAGGATACACTAACCGCGCAACTGCCACTTTGGGGAATTCTTGTTCTTCTTTTCTTATAAGTATTGATGAAAGTATCGCGATGCACTCTCTAAAAGTCGATCAGTGGATTTTCACTGAAAACAGCGAACAGTCACTGATTTACAGTTACAAGTATACCACTGCGATTTTCAGTAGTATACTTGTACCTGGAAATTAGTGACTATTCGCTGTTCCAGTTACAAGTACACTACTGAAAATCGCAGTGGTATACTTGTAACTGTAAATCAGTGACTATTCGCCGTTTTTAGTGATAATCGTTCAGTGATAAAAGTCAGTCACCGATTGACTTTTGGGGAGCATACCTGAGTCGAAATTTTCGGTACTATTTTGACACTTTTAAGGATAATTTCCACCTATGATTTATAGGAATTCCGGGAGTGCTTTCGCGACGCAGGTCAAAATGATCCGTGCCATGATTGGTCAAATCTGGAATTTCATTGAATAAAATTTCAATGTGATGCTACGAAATTTCAGATTTGACCAATCATAGCACGGATCATCCTGATCCGGATCACCCTGATCTACGTCGCGAAAGCACCCCGGGTATGGTTAGTTATGGAATTACCGACCGCTAAAAAGAAAGAGTGTGTTTACCTCGATTTATGCAATTGCCGAAATGAAATGCATATTACGTTATTTTCTCGGAAATTGACAATTCGATAGATAGATTTACTTCTACAATGGCATAAATCGTGGTTTTATCAGAATGTTTTTCCTTTCTTGACTACATTTTGTAAACAGGCGGTTGTAAGTTTAGCGGGTTGGCACGAATCTCCAGTTCTTTTCGAGTATCAGAAGTCTTCAACAGCGGTGCTGCCTTTAGCATAAAACACGGATGGAGTACTACTGTAATAAGTTGATGTTGAAGGAATTCCCAAAGTTATTTTATTGATTTTTAGTCTTTCAGAAAAGGGAGTTTCGGAGCGACGAGAGCGAGAAGTGGATCCGGCCTCAACACCACACGAGAAATTTTCCGTATGGAATTCCCAAAGTTATTTTATTGATTTTTAGTCTTTCAGAAAAGGGAGTTTTGGTTGGGCTTCTGGTATATCGAAATGTATTATCGATATTATAACGTCTAAGGCTGGATTCAGACTGAACGCGATGAGCGATGAGCGACGAGCGATATCCAATGGGCGTACAGTCTTTATAGGAAAACTATACGCTTTCCCATGTAACCTGTTCGCCCATTGGATAATCACTCGTCGCTCATCGCTCATCGCGTTCAGTCTGAATCCGGCCTTAGACGTTATAATATCGATAATAGTACGCTCATCGCGTTCAGTCTGAATCCGGCCTTAGACGTTATAATATCGATAATAGTACATTTCGATATACCAGAAGCCCAACC